CTTAATGAATGGTTCAGGACACCACCAACGTTCTACATGAAGCTAAGCAAATGCTCTGTTCTTGAGGGACCCCAAAAAAGTGGGGGGTAACCCTGCACCTGGTAAGGTCGTGGCAGCTGCCAGCCAAATCCTCTTCCTGTTGTGAAATGAAAGTGGCAGGGGCTATTTCTAAAGAAGGCACTTCAAGAGCAGCAGCTGTCTCTTCTTTTGGTATATTCTAACAAGCTGTTCCATAATTCTGCTCTTAGTGGAATAGAATTTTAGGCCTATTTTGTCATACCCATTTGTCATTAGGAGATGCCTAGTACAAAGGAAAGGCCAGTGGGTTGGAGGCAGAAGGAAGCCTATAACTAATCCAAATTCTGCCTCTTCCTAGGAATAATGACCCCCACACTGTCACCTACTGAGGGAATGCCTACAGTTACAGTTGTGACTTGGCCATCCTGTCAGCAATCTGCTCTTGAAATAAATATTTAAGTGGTGTTGGATGAAGGTTGGGGAGATAAGAACTCTCAAGGTCTGTTACTTATCATAGCAAATCTCCACTTTGTTACATATAAAGTATCCTGAATATGTGAGCCGGAAAGAAAGGATGATTCTCCTTTGCAAAGTCAAGTCAAATGCCTCTTCTTGTGCCCAGCTGAACCCAGTGGGTTGCAGCAGGAACTACTACTTTACTGCTACATGCCTTACCATTTCTTCACGGAAATAGCCAGAGGGGAGTTGAGAAAGACACATGCAAGAACCCACATGGCAGTCCTTGCTTTTCTGGTGCCCAAATTTGCTGAATTCTTTCTTTTCTCTTTCCTCCTTTGGTCAGTTAATGTGAAGAGAGGATCAAACTGCAGAATCTACAGAGGATCCCACATTTGCCTTTCTAGCTTCCTACTTGCTGAAATGTTGCTGAGCTCTGGGCTAACTTCCAGTCTCAGAGCTGAGCTAGCTTCCACTAAAACCTGTGCCCAAGGGTTTTGCTGTTTCCCCTGCCACAGATGCTGGGTGCATTGGTAAAAGTCAGCTCTTAGCCTCTGGCCTCACCTATTGAGATACACTTGCCTACTAGGACAAGAGTCTGCCCCTTACAAAGTCTTACAAAATAATGACTTCGGCATCTGTTTTCAGAGATCCTTTAACAGGGATTGGGCAATCTCTCCACCTCCTTCTTTCCATTTGGGGCCAAGTTGCTTATACACCTACAGGAAGGCCTCCAATGTGTTGTCTATTAAGAAGTGTAATTGAAAGCTTAATATGTTTTTAAGACTGAGGGAGCCACTGATGACACTTGAGCAGCCATGTTTACATTGGACAAGTTTGCTCAGATGACATGCCAATGGTCTGCACACTGCAAGAAGTGGAGGTGAAAGCAGGAAGAGGGGAGAACTAGCCTGGAGGACAGGAAAGCCAAGAAGGGTGTGATGTGAAGAAGTGTACAGAAACACCTGGTTGAACTTGGCAATGCACATAGAAGTACCATCACTTAATGCTCCTTGGGCATTGCTAGGAGGGAAAAACAGAGCCCATCCATTGGCACATGCATAGTTGACAGTAAGCATGCTCTTAGATTTCTTTGTCCTCGTTCTTTCCAAATTCCTACAAATGGCTCCTGACATCAAGAAGTTAGGTGTATGTAGAATGCAAGAGTTGTGGGGTTAAGAAGGCTTCCACCCAGATTCCAGAAGAAGGCCTGGGAGGCCAGACAGTAAGTCCCCGAGAGGGCATTCTGTGAAACTGTCAGTGTGAAGTCAAAGGTGCAGAGGAGACTGCAGAAGATTGAGAAGCCAGGAATATAGATAGTCCAAGGAAAGCTGCAAGGAGTGAGCAAAGCCAGCCAAAGAAAAATGGCATGGGAGCTATAACCACCAAACGTGCCATTTGGAGCTACCCAAGCCCTTTGGAGTCCACTACCTGTCACAGATTGCCAGAAATACTGAAAGTGGAATTGTGGGATTTAATGTTTCCCTGCTGGATTTTGGTCTTGCTTTGTTCCCATTCCTTGCTATCCTCATTTGTAAGTTTTGGAATAGAAATATCTATCTTGTGCCATTGAATGTTGGACATATTTAACTTTCTTTTCATTTGTGCAGGGGCTCACAGCTAAAACTTGGCCTTAAATCTCAAAGGAGACTTTTGACTTGGATTTTTCAGCAATGCTGAAACTGTTAGGACTTTGGCAACTCTTAGAGATGTACTAAATGCCTTTTAAATAAAGGAATGTGCATGAGTCTTTGGGGGTCCAGGGACAGAATGTTATGGTTTGTGTCTAGATATCCCCCCAAAACCTTATGCAGTCTTAGGCTTTTTCAGACATGGCTGGATCTAGAATGTGTGACAGAGATTGCTTCATGGTGCAATGCTAGGATCAAGGACACTAGGATTAAGGGTATGAGTGCTACCTGCCCTAAATAGCCTGAATAAGGTATGAAATAGAAAAAGCTGCAGTTGACCCTTGTTGCTTTGCCACTTTCTGCCTGCCATGAACAGTTTCTCCTCTGTGATGCCTGTCTGCTATCCACCCTGCCTTGGAGACAGCCAATTATGGAATAAAACCTCTACAAACTATGAGCTAAATAAACCTTTCCTCCTGTAATTTTGGGTGTCAGGCATTTTGTCTCCGCAATGAGAAAAGTAATTAAGACAACCTTCTTATGACTTTTCAGCTGCTGAGGATTCCTCTCTCTCTCAACCCTTTGGGGGCAGAAAAGTGGAATGGTACATATGCGATTTTAAACTACTTCTCATTTTGTAAATAGGTCTCTTGTAGCTGGAAGAGTCCATTAATTTGTTTCAAAATGTCTAAGTGTGATTTTACATCCTGGAGCCAAATATTTAAAAAAAGTGTTGCTGATCTTATAAGTAAATATGCAATAAAATCTTTTCAGCGTGCTGTTATGACACAGCACTTAATCACTACTGTATCATTCAGCAAGGAGGACTCTCCAGACTCCTACCCCTTCACTTGACTTTTTGAATTGTAGATATTGGTTAATCCACAAAGGGGTGATAGTTTCCTTGACTGTCAAAATCCCAAGAGGCCAAAAATATCCACCTTTTCATCTCTACCCACCATATTCTTTTGCTAAGCCTGTAATTAGATCTAAATGGAAAATAAACTGTTTCCAGACTACGAAAGTTGGCACTAGAGGGTGACAAGAAGGAGAACATGTTCCACCTCTAATCTGGATAATCACATTCTCCTGTGCAAAGGAAAATAAAAATAAGATTTCTTTTAAGCAGTAGCCCTGCCTTGAGTGGGAAGGAGGCTTCCATATACCTTGCCTCACTTCACATGGTAACTGTCAGCCAGCTTATAATTACAACACCCAGAAATCATTTTACATTCCAGAGAACAATGAAAGCCTTTTCCCTTAGCCCTGAATTTTTCTAATCAACTGAACTTGGGGAGGTAGTTCAAACACAAATCATTGTGCCACAAGGTAAATAATAATACAAGATAAAGAATAACATATACAGTGTATCGTACAAACATTAAGGTCTTAGCTACCCAGATATTTTCATTGTTTCATAGTTTTTTGACTCCTGCTGTATGTGGCATGGAATGCAGAGGTAGACAAGAAAGGTTTCCCTCAAGGACTTCAAAAAGACATAAAGAGAAATAAGAGCAGTACAAGCATAACTCACAACTGTGTAAAAATTAAGAGGTATCTTCCAAAAGCCTAAACTCTTATAGGAAATCCACAGCAGGTGAGATGACTTGATTCTGCAAATAGTCTGGCAGAGGCAGTGGGACATGGTACATTCCAGAGAGATGCCCAGATTAACTCAGACTTGGCGTACACATGCAGAAGGGTTTGCAGCACTGTGGGGGTCTGGGGCAGGTTGTGTGCAAAGGGCATAACTCTAAATTAGATGTTGAATGTCATGCCTCTAAGTAGTTGGCTTGCATTCTTATTTTGATTCTGCTAGTCTTTTTTTTTTTTCTTTTTCTCTCATTTACTTCACAAATAATGGTTGATGTCTAAGGGGGACTTTGCCCTGCAAGATTAAATCCTCTGAAATCAGAGCTTAATAATTACTGCTTTGGGAGATTAATTCAGAGCTGCCACCTTGCTGCTCTGGTTGCTGTGAAGGAGGTGGGGTCTACCACCCCTAGGTTAGAGTCAGGGAAATTGAGGCTTAGAAAAGTCATTTAGTCAATACTATGTAGCGAAAAAGGACCAGAGCTTGAATATGTAAAGCTTTCCCTACATATTGCCTACTGAAACCAGCTTTCTGTGGCTCTCCACAACCTCATTTCTCTATCTGCCCAACCTAGGCAATGATGGCGAACCTTTCAGAGCTTTCAGTGATACAAATAGCCCGCTGCACAGGTGTACCATAGGTTATCAGCGTAGGCTGTCTCTGTTCTCTCCCTGTTCTCCTGTCTTTTAAGTCTCCAGCCTGAGCTCTCCAAGGGCGCTCAGGTAGGCAAACAGTGGGTGTTGGAGCTACAGGCACAGCTGTAGGCCCCTCCTGCAGTAATTCACCCTTGACCTTCTGGGCTCCAAGCCAGCCCTTCTTGAAAGAGAAAGGAGCAGACCCTGGGGACAGTTGCCTGTGTTAGAACTGCTGCCACTGCCAAAGCAGCAGCTAAGAAACTGTGCAGTGTGTTGCGGGGACCCACAAGTACTAGGATGATCGCAAAAGGGGAACATTCTTAGTATTACCTATGCCCCTCTTTTGGGATGGATCTTCACGGAACCTATCCCAAAGGGGAAAGGGAACCCAGAAACACGGGCTTTTCCCCTAGTGACCCTGAGAATACCTTCTCCCCAGGGAGTTTTACCTTAATTCAACTTTAATTAACATCACCCAAGAATTAAGATTCTTCTTTCGCACAGCTTTACCTTACAATGGTAAACAAAAGGGAATTTGGGTGTGTGCTTGTCAGCTCAAACATAAGTCTTGGAATGTAATTGCTCCTTACATCTAGGTACGGTATCTGCCCACAGATAGGGGAGCAGGGAGAAGGTGTGAATAAAGGCAGGCAGATCTCCACTCACCTTTTGCACTCGTGGGTTGAGGTCCTTCGCCACCTTTGCCATCTTCCTCTGCGGAGCAGACACAACGCCGGGCTCGTCCAGTGGAGAGTGGAGGCTCGAGGAGGCGCGGCAGGACTGCCACGGCGCGCGGCAGGGCTGCCGGAGGCTGAATGGCCAGGTTCGCGCGCCCCGCGGGAAGCTCTGCGAGCAGCCGGGCGCGCGGTCCCGCTTTAATTGGAGAGCCGGGCTCCCTCTAAAACCGCGCCAGCCAATCGGCGCGGGCGCTGGCGCGTGGCCAGCCAATGCCAGCGCGAGGCTGCGCCCCGCCTCTGGGTGTCTCCGCCTGGAGGAGCCGATCCCTGACGTCAGCTCGGGGCGGCGCGCTGGCTCGGGCTGACTCTCTGTCCCTGCTGTGCCCCGGCGGGCGCCGACTCGGTCCCCACGCCCTTCTCCTTTAAAGGACAGCGCGCTGAGGGGGGCGGGCGACAGCCGGCGGTCCGTTCAGGTCAGGAGGGAGAGGGATCAAACAGGAAGGCCGAGGTATTTTTAGTGAGCTGAGTCCAAAAATAAATGCTGAGCCGGATTCCCCTTCCCGCCCTGGCCGCCGCGTCGCGCGTGGCGGAGACAGGTGGGGGGCAGCTGTGGTCACCTGGGCCGACACTCCCCAATCTGGGTGAGGGAGATGAGCGCCGGGAGAGTGTGATGTGGTCCTTCAGCTGTACGCGCGAAGTACTAACCAGCCTGTACACACTGGGGGGCGCGTCCTTGGCGGAGGTACGCGGTGCAGCCTGCGCTCACCGAGGCCGAGCGATGCCCTCTATGGGGAGAGGGAGCGCGGGGCTTTGGGTTAGGGACTACAGACCAGGAAGTTGGTAAGGTTTAGATAAATCGGGTCCTGCGGACCTGGACAAGCAGAATTCCCGGCGGTACCTGTCCAGCGTCCACCATAACCTCTCCCAGAGGACAGAACTGGCCAGGGTTCCCTTGCTCATAAACCCACATCTGCCGATGGAACCTGTTCCACAGCATGAAACAAGCCCTTTCTCCTAGAGACAACTTGCTCTTTCTGTCCTGAGGTGTTTTTCCTGTCGCTCACACTGGCATGCTCCCTGTCGGAACTGAGGCTCCAGTGGGCTAAAGTAAAACTCGCTGCAGGGAGCCTGGAGAGTGGGCTCGAAGGACATCCTTTGGGACTGATCTGGTGGGAATCAGGGGCTGAAGGCCACAGTGATGAGGCTTCTCTGTCATTGGAGCCTGTTCCTCATTTAACCCTTCTCCAGTTTGGTTCCTAACCCATCATCTCCAGCCACCCAAAACCTTGACCAGGAATCCCAAATTGTGATTCCTTTTTCACAATCCTGGAATGGACTTTCCATTTGTGACTCACCTTTTCCAGGAAGAGAGATGGCTGATTTCTTCCTTCCCGGATTTCGGCTATAATTAATGTTTGTCTCTTTTGCTCCCAGCTATAGCCCCAGCACCTCACAGGCAGCAGAGGTTCAGGACACATTTTTTGAATGAATGCAAGTAGGGTGCTGGCTTTTAATCAGCAGTGACAAGGCCAGGTGAGAATTTCCAGGGTGAGCTGAAGTTAAACCAGTAGGTGACAAAGAATTATTAACAGGAGCCTGACCCAGGAAAGAAGGTTTCCACATGAATAGTGCTTTTAGTAACAAATCCTAGGAACAATAGTGCTCAAGTGGGATGTCCTGCCAGAGCCTTTGAGTGATTGGAACAGAAGCTAGGAGTATAACAAAGGCAAGCTTTCTCCCCTCCAATCTAGGCAAAAGCATTCCTAGTGAAGTCACTTCCCACTCCCTCCCCTGCCACTCTCTTTGCCCCATCTTGAGAAACCATTGTTCCATGGAATAATGCTAATTTTTCTAACTTTAACATCATTTAGCTGCAACCACAGAGCTCCTTCCACTTCTCCATATTTTATTCTTGACTCCAGGTACAATGAAAGGAGGGAGAAGTTGTGGTTGTTTCTCAGAATGTGAGAATTAGGAATCTCTGCTTTGGGCCACCCATCTTATCTTTTCTGGAAAAACCAGAAGTGGGGTCCCTGCTGTCTGCTAAAGCTTCTCCCATCACAGCTAAGGATACAGATTAGGATCCTCCAGACCCTACTGTGGACCCATGTGTTTTGGAGGTCCTGTAAGCACAGACTTGCCTGGTCACCAAAGCAAACTTACAAGTCAGGACTGAGGGAAAATGGGGAAATGTAGTTAGTTCTCCTCAGCTTCACTCTGACTCTGAGGTCCTCTTTCCTTCTTCTCTTTGGAATAAATGGAACGTCTTTTCCAAGTTGGAACAGTACAGAGATCTGATTTTCCCCAGGTTCATTGCTTTATGGTACAGGGGCTTTTTGGAAGCAGTCATTTATCCATCTAGCAGCTTTGGAGCCTCTTTCTTAAGCCAAGCCTTGTACTCCGTGTTTGGGACACGCTAGTTAATAAAAGGATTTTTCCCTTTGGAGATTGCCTTGGTCTGTAACTCACACTGGGGCTTTGTGACTGAAAGCTGTTAATGTACTTGAATTTCAAGACAACCACTGGGAGGAAACAAATTATGAATTATCAAGGACTTTATCCAATCATGTAGCTCCTATGTGGCAGAAGTGAAATTCATATTCAAGGTTTCTACTTCCAGATTGTGTCCTTTCAACTATCCCACACTGCCTCCCCTAGTGACCATAGAAAATTGATTTTGGGGGAAAGAGTGAGCACGTGGCATAAGATGATGCTGTCATTGCCACCATTGTCACCAGGTTGGTCCTAAGTGGGATTTTTGAATGAAGCTCTGCTATTTTTCCATTCATGAGTTAAACAAATAAACATGGGATTGGGAACTAAAGTGGGTTAGTCCCTGAGCTGAGGGTGCAATGGTCAATAGACCAGAAAAGTTCCTGCCCTCCCCCAGTGTCAGTTCTAGTATTGGGGTGGAGGATTCAGCAAGTGACCAGAAAACTAGACAAAGTATTAATGCCTAGGGGAAAAACATGGAGGAGTAGTCACTGGCTGTGGTCCCTTCAGATGGAGAAGGAGTCAGCAGTGTGGAGGGAAGACTCCAGGAGAATGGAAGAGGAGAGTAAAGACCCTGAGGTGGGCACAGCATGATGTGTCCAGGGAACAGTCAGGTCACGGTGTCTGAGTGAAGCCTAGGGGAGGCAGACAGGGGCTGGATCTCACCGGCCCTGTAAGCCTTGTTAAGGAGCTAAACCTACTGAGAACGATGGATGTGATAGGTTCACTCTCAGCTGGAACATAAAGTGAGCCATTATAAACTTTCTAATAGCCACATTTATAAAAAGAAAAAAGAAGCAGATGAAATCTTTGTAATGTATTCTATTTAACTCAAGATGACCAACATGTCATTTCTTCCTGCAGCTCATAAAAATTATTGAAATGCTTTACATTCTTTTTCATGCTTTATCTTTGAAATTTGAAAAAATATAAAAAGAAAAAATTTGGGTGTGTCTTAGACTCACAGCAGATCTCCACTAAGGTTGCCCTGTTGCAATGGTTGACAGCCACATGTGGCTCGTGGCTACTGTACTGGACCGGGGGGTTACAGAGAGATGTAAGTAAGCGCATAACTCACTTTGTAACACATGCAGCAAAAACACCAGGAGGTACTAAGAGAATCCTAGCTGGTGAGTAATCAAGGAGCTGGGAACCTGTAAGTGATTGGTTGACTATGTGTTTCAAACACTATGCTGGGAGACAAAGAGGCAGAGCATGATAAAGAACTTGTGTCTTTTGGTTTCTTGCCAAATACTTTTACAAACCCCCCCAATAATCATAACTCACAATGATGTTTTTATCTTTACAATATAGCAACCATGGCCCAAATTGTTCAGTGTGCCAATATAATTGGTGGCCTTTATCTGATTATGATTTTTTTTAAATACTGTATTCATTTAAAAAAACATCTAACACTTAAGGGTCAATAATCCATGAACTACATACTGTTTCTCCAGAAATAAGACATAACTGAACAACCTGACTGGGACCAGTCCCAGCTGGTCATTACCATAGTGATGCTCAGGGTCATAAAGGAGATTATACCTCACTACTGTATTTGCTTGTTACGTGGTTTCTGTGTGGTGGCAGGTAAGGCAAGGATAGGCTGATTGGGGCTGGCATTTTTTTTGTAAGGTCTTATTTTGGGGGAACATGGTAGTATATTCTAATTAACTGATATAAATATGTATGAATTCCAAAGCAGAATTTTTTTGTATCAACTTACACCATCACTGGTGTGTGTGTGTCTGTGAGTGAACTGTTCACAACTCAATTTTTTGTTTGTCTCCTGCCATTTTTTATAGGAGCATTAATTTTAGAAGAAGTAATTTTCTACAGATTTTTGGATGGACTCCTAGATCCAGAAAGGCTTTGCTTATAAGGCAAAAACATCTGTATGAAAACAAAACATGATTGTTGGACCCAAATGGGGTTCCATCTTATAGGCTTTGACAGGGCAGGGAAGGAAACAAGGAGAATCTGCCTGTTACCAAATAACAACACATTAGGAGCTGGAGCCCTGCATTTTGATCCCCTCTCTAAAATTGACTTGCTGCTCAAGTTTATTGCACTTTACTCTAAGAAGTAGTAAATTTGTCCAGAATACCAGATGTGTTGGGAGTCACACCCATAAGTATGTTGTGACTATTATAGCAAAGGAAAGGAGATTTTGCAGATGTAAGATCCTTAATAAGTTAATTAAGTGGAAGGTTTTCCAGACTGCACCTAACCAAGGCTGAGGCAGGAGGACTACAGTTTCCAGTGTAGTATCTTAACCAAAACCTTGCCTCAAAATTTTAAAAAGGGCTGTGAATGTGGCCCAGTGTGAAGGCCCTAGGTTCAATCTCCAGTATTGAGATAAAAAAGGAAAGAAAGAAAACCAGTATAGTATCATTCCCATTATTGCTGGGTCTGTTTTATAGATTTAAGTCTCTGTTATTTTTTGGGATGAAGAAATCTCCCCTGCCCCCATGCTGAGGATCCAACCTAGGGCCTTGTATATGCTAGGCAAGCACTCTACCACTGAGCTACATCCCCAAGTCCTGGTACTTCTTTCTAAATGAATTACTTCTCCTTTCAATTCTTATAGCTACCAGGGACAGAAAATTCCCTGAGTTGAATGTAGTTTTACTATTGTTTATTTGTTTGTTTGGTAGTGGTGGGGGTGGACCATAGAGCGTTGCATGTGC